TAGTGACATTGACCGTTGTCAGGGTGTATGGGCAACAGTCTCCCAAGCTATTTCTGCAGAGAGGAGCCCTTGTTGAGGGTAGCAGTCAGAGCCCATTACTGTGTGGTCTGTCTGAGGGTCTTGAGTAGAAGCTAGGAGGAGTGTTTGTTGGACAGTCTACCTGAAGCTCTACTTGTAGCTTTAAAGCCATTAAACAAGAAGAAATTAATTCGATTAAAAGGTTGAGAAAATATGGTCTAAATATCATGGCTATAGAAAGCATTAACCAATTAACAGTTTACCACAAGCATTATTTAGGCAGTCTGTTTGTTTTATACTGACTACTTTCTTATTTAGAACATTGTATTTACCTTTGGCATTTGTTTGTAATGAAATCTAATAGTAAATTTTGGTGTTTTTTGGTTTTTTTTGCTAATTTGTGTTTATTTGTAAAAAATAACTTACAATTTTGTGCTATAATTTTAATGTAAGCATGTTAGATATAATTTTTGGACTTCTCCAGAACACAGTGATATTCTTTTACAATACAAAGTGGACACGTTTGGTACACTGAGGCTGAACAGGAAGGAAGAGCCAAAAGATCTGCAAAAGAAAAAACTGAAAAAGGGAGAAATGTTAGCATCTCAGAGAGGAAGAGTCTGTGTGATGAAATGGAAAGACAGAAAAAGACATCTCCTCATTGTCAATTATTCATAATACAGAAATGATAAAACTTGAAAGAAGGAACAGAACTGAAAATTTCCAATAGTGGTCAATGATTATAATAACTCGATGGGTAGTGCTGACAGAGTTGACCGACAGCAACAAGCTATCCTGTAATCAAAAAGTGAGGAAAAAGTATTATAAAACATACACGCACCTTCTGGACCAAACAATATGGAACTCAGTGTTTGTTTATTCTGCCAGGGTGAATCACAGTCTCCTGTGACCATATGGCCTTCCTGGAAGTGTTGTTGCAAGGTGGGGTGTGTGCATCTCTCCTCCTCGGGAACACGAACTAATGGGATCGTAAATTCTCAGCTTCAGGGATGAATTAAAGAGGCAGAGTTCAAAATAAAGGAAAACAGGTTTTTTTTTTGTTTTTTGTTTTTTTTAATGACAAAAAAAAGAAGATGCACAGGTACTCTGGGGGAGAAAGGGCAGCATCCAATCTGTGGATTTTTGTCCTCAGCTCATTTTTATTTAGTTCTAGTGATTTGTCCCATTCTCCCATGTGGGCACCTGGAAGTTTTTGCCATTTGCCTGGTTCTCTCGCAACCTTTGATCCTAACCTTGGGCACCTCAGTTTACATTCTTTTTAGCCATTTGATTTCTTCCTTTATGACGGGTGGGGGCCTTACAGAAAGATAACTTAGAGTTAATGATTAAGTAAAGGGGTCATGTGTGTTTTATATATTCAATAAGAATCCTTAGGTGGCTGCTCCTTATGTCTCTTATATTTTATCAAGTGAGGTGAGGCTGGTTACGCTGGCCTTTTATATTCTTGGCTACATCCCTATTTTACTTGTCAACTCTTTCTGCTAAATTTTTATGTCAACTGTGTTACCTGTTGCCTTTCTGAGTCTGATTTCTCTCTTTTTCTCTTTACCTTTGTCTTTCTAATTGTTGCGGTCTAAATGCAGAGGCAAATCCGTCTTTAGTAAGATTTCTTACTAATTTATTTAATAAAGCTTAATGAGATTTTTTTTTTTTTTTGGTCTCTAACTCCCTGTCCCTACAGAAGCATGGGAGATGCTTTTTCTTTGGTGACATTTTTTTCACAATATACATTGGTTGACTACGGTTCTCTGAGGTCTGACAATTTCCCTGTTCATTTGGTTGAGTGACTCACCAGCGTTGTAGGATACTGTAGAGAGGTTTTCTCATGTCTTGGATCTTTATTGACCTTGGAGTGCCAGGGCCAAAATATTGGCTGTTTTCTAAGCCCAGTTATGTACATTTTTTTAGTACCTTGATACACAAACAAAAGTGTTAACCATAGTTTTGGTTTTGTTTGCAGAAAAGATACATAGAGAAAAGACACCCGCTCAATACACAATAGACATCTCTCTCAATGTCAGCACATCTTACAATATACATAGGATGCAGATCCTGACACAGGGGTTACTGTGTGCACCTGTTCCCAGCCCTGTAAATGTATCAGGACATGTCGGGGGGGGGGGCTGTCTATCAAACTAGCAGAGGGAGAAAAGTCCAACCCAATAGCTCAACTCTTAATGGAGGCTTAAGAGAGGGCTCTGACAGCTTTGTTTCAGGTCACTCTGGGACAGCAGATATGAGCAGAACACTAAGAGAGTTTTACATCTCACCTCACAGAGGAGTAAGGTGAGGATGACCAAAAAAGTGGAGATTTCTCTGCTGGTTACTCAGTCAGGCTCTTGGGACCCCACTTCCACTGAGGAGCTTTGAGTGACCACTGGGAGTTGCCACAGCCATGGCCCCTCAGCTGCTCTCTCAGCTTTAACTGGTTCCATGCAACCAGAGATCTGTCTCTGGGAAGGAATCCAGCTGTCTGTCTCACTAACATTCCCACTGGCCTCAGCGGGAGATTCACCAGAAGGCGCTGGAGAGCCTGTCCTCTGATTCAAGAATGGCAGCTGCTCTAAGAACGTTAGCGGGGGGGCTGGGGATTTAGCTCAGGGGGCTGGGGATTTAACTCAGCGGCAAAAGCGCCCGCTTGGCAAGCGCAAGGTCGTGAGTTCGGTTCCCGGTACCAGAGAAAAACCAAAAACCAAAAAAAAAGAACATTAGCGGGCAGAGTAACCCCTATTTCTTAGAGTTCTACAAGGGACAGACAAAGATGGCGTGCGTCTATGTTCAGCCATCCCACCACACTTACCGCTCTGTAGAGAAGACAATGGCCCATGTTGGGCACCAAAGATGTAACTGGATCCCTCTCACTCTCAGGTCCTTGTTTGGGGGCAACAAAGATTGAGGCCCACAAAGCAGCAAACAGCAAGAGATGAAAAAAGATCAGGAGATGGGGAATGGCTACATGCAGGTTTATTAGAAAGAATAAAAGAAAAGCTCTCCACTAGTCGGAGAAAGGTATTCCACAAGGTGGACACTGTGGAAATTTAGACTCAGGGATCTTTATATAATTTCTGCTATCAGTGTGCATGACGGAAAGGAGGGATGGTCCTGGTTGCAGGTAGGGCTTTGATGTTCGGAGTATAAACTGCTTTATTTGCATTTTACTTCCTCCAAGTTGTCTCCCATTTGTTTAAGCGCCTGTTTTTTGTCCCTTGCTCTTGTTAAACCCTGATCGTCGCTTGTTTGGGCCCTCCAGTACGTTAACTCTCTTAGGCCCCAGCTTTTAGTTTACATTAACTACTTAGGACTTGTGTCTGTGCAGCTGGGCAAGCAGTTTGCTATTAGTCTTCCACCAGCTTTGCGGTAAATGGTACCTGTAATATGTGGGATACGGTAATACCAGTAATACTGGCTGCTTTGCTTGTTTTTCAGGGACTTGAGGCAACTTTTATCGAAATCACTCACTTGACTTGGGTCTGTACAAAGGTCCAATGGGTGAGTTTGATAACAGGAGGCCAAAAGCTGTACCTTAGATCAAGCTAACACTGCAGTTTTCTGAACATGAGAACTCTCCCCCTGCAGAACCATTCAGTTTGATTAAGCACACATAGACTATTGATTCCTCACCTCCAATCACCTTTCCTCTCACCTCAAACCACTTTGCTTCTTTATCCCATAAATACTCCCAAGGCCTGTCCTCAGGAGGGCAGATTTGAGACTTGTGTCTCTCCTTGCGCACTCAAAACCCTTGAAGATAAACTTTGTCTTGCAAAATTCACCTCAGCCCTCGGCACAAGGTGCAGTGCCCAAAACAGGACTGGTCTGGGAACACTTCTTAATAATTCATGATATTTTGCATATTGTATTTTCTGAAGCATCCATCCCTGTTGACTTGTCAATTCCTGTTTTGGTACAAGAACTAGAAAGATAAACGATCTGAAAATCATGGTTCATGGCTCTTTTTTTTTTTTTTTTTTTTTCATTTTGTTTTCTGGGTACTGGGAATCAGAAACTTAGGACCTTGCACTTGCCAGGCAGGTGCTTGTGCCACTGAGCTATATCCCTGGCCCGGTTCATACTTCTTTTAGGGCTTGCCTTTTTAAATACCAGGACACTCACATGTTCAAAGTTTACTGAGCGTGAGCTCCCACTGAGGGGTTCTCACAATGAACCTGATCCAAACCACACCCTTCTAACACCAGCTTACCCCAGCTACAGAAGGAAGTAGCTAGCAGTGTGCAGAAGCCAGTGACTGTCCGAACACTGGGATAAGGGAGAAAACCCAAAACCGCTGAATCATCCTAACTGAAGAACATATCCCCAAAAGGTTATAGATTGTATGATTTCATTTATGTAACATTTTAAGCAAACAAAAGGGTAGAAATGGTGAACAGACGCCTGCTGAAGATAGGGCTGGGCTGAGGAACCAGGCACGGTTTATCAAAGAGCAACAAGAGCTGATGGAAATGTTCTGTGCCTTATCTATGGTGGGTACACAATCCACAGTGCGATACAGTGACACAGAACTCAATACACACACACACACACACGGACACAGAACTGGAGCAATCCACGACAAGTGAGCTATTTTGATTTCAATATTTAAGTGTGACATTGTACTATAGTTTGCAAGTGGAAGGAAATTATGAAGTGTGAGAAACGTGTGCGTACGGGTTGATATAAATTGAGATTAAATGCCAGGCTTACTTTAACTCCCTAGCAACAGGTTGCATGCGCTGTACAGAACTTAGTAAAGAAACGACGGTTCTTTCCTTGTAAACTAATGCGACACTAAGTGCACCACCACGCATGAAACACAGACCGATAAAGACAAACGGCGATCTTTAGAAACACTGACGCCCTTGGCTGAGAGCTGAGAGATTTATCTCAAAACTTTCTTCGCAGTAGCTTTCAAGGCCACGAAGCCACGCCCCGCCAGGGGCGGCGGGGGCGTCTGCGCCTGCGCGCTGCGCGGGGAGGGGGCAGCGCGACTCCCTAGTAAAGAGCGGCTGCGCGCAGTTTCCGGCGGCCGCTTGTGCCCCTCTCCGCGAGTTTCCCCAGCGGCTACGCAGCCATGTCTTGCACCCGAGTGGCGCTGGTGACCGGGGCCAACAAGGGCATCGGCTTCGCCATCACCCGCGAGCTCTGCCGGCGGTTCCCGGGGGACGTGGTGCTCACGGCGCGGGACGAGGCGCGGGGCCGGGCGGCGGTGCAGCAGCTGCAGGCCGAGGGGCTGAGCCCGCGCTTCCACCAGCTGGACGTGGACGACCTGCAGAGCATCCGCGCGCTGCGCGACTTCCTGCGCAGGGAGTACGGGGGCCTCGACGTGCTGGTCAACAACGCGGGCATCGCCTTCAAGAGTAAGGAGTTGGCGCTGTGCCTGCGGAGGCGGCGCTGCGGTGGGGCCCCTCCGGCTTGCGGGGTGCGGAACAGCATCCCTAGGAGGAGCAAGAGAGGCAGGGGCTGCGGCAGGAGCGCAGCCCGGAGGGCCTGGAGGCTGAGGGTGGAGCCGGGGATTGCTTTGCAGTGGACCTTGTGTTTGTGCGGCCCAGACTCTTAAGGGTCTTTTCTAGGTTTACCGCTTACACTTTATCTGTAACTAGGCGTTGGGGCAGTTGGGTGGACGTTTAACTCGTTTTGAAATAGACACCAGGATTCTGCTATGGATCAGGTGTCCTCACACAGCCTCCCCCAGTCCTGCCGTATAAAAAACAATGGGACATTGTCAAACTATAAAGTTGACATTGGGATAAGACCGGAACTAGTTACAGACTGTTCTTGGAAGTGACCGATTTCTATAATGTTCTTGCAAAATTATACCTTGTGGCTACTGCTTGCTGATTCTTGTTCTCTTCCTCCCTTAAAAGTGGCAGATCCCACACCCTTTCATATTCAAGCAGAAGTAACAATGAAAACAAACTTTTTTGGTACCCGAGATGTCTGCACAGAGCTGCTCCCCCTGATGAAACCACAAGGTGAGTCTGATGGTGACCTGGCCCTGGCTGCTGGGTTTCCCCGTGCAGGTGCAGTTCTGCTCCTTGGTCCCCATTTCCCCATGGCCCTGGTGCAGTCTGACCCCCGCTCTTCGCACACCTGCCTCTTTTTCATCCTTCAGGTCTTGCTTCAAAGGTCTCCACACATCGGCTCCTTACGTTGTCTGTGCTGCTCCCACTTTAGAGGCCCTTGAGGTTCCTAACCTCCTCTCTGCCGAGTGATCTTATTCAGGCTGCTGGAAGTTCCTCTACCACACGTTTCTAGATGCCTCAGCATGAAATCTGTCACTTTCCTAGAATTCTCCCAGAGCTCCCACGTGTATTTGTCTTTCTGCCTGTACATGTCTTCCTGATGGCCCTCGATCTGAAACAGACATTTCCCCAAAAACGCTAGTCTTTCTCCCTCAGTCATCTGGGCCACTCACCGGCATCCTGGCAGTCACTATGCCCTGCCCTCTCATAACCGCTAACCAGGAGCTAAGATTGTCCCTACTAAGTGTCCCCCAGCTCCAGCACAGGCCAGCCCTCAGCTATCAAATTACTCTACTGCATGCCCTCCTAAGAGGCCTCTTTCTTGAGTCACTTCCTTTCCTGGAATTCTCAACATTACCTGACTGCTGCCCAGCAAAAACCAAGCCCTTAGCATGGCTCATACTAATCTGCACAGTTGGACCCTGCCTGCCTCCAGGCCCACTTGAACTTCCCATGAATGTGCTCCACTTATTGCATATAAAGCTGTCATGTTTGCTACCTTGTGAGCTGCTCTGACATCCTACATATTTGGCGAGCTGTTGAACCACCACTCATTAAAAACATGCCAATAGAAACTAGCAATCCTTTTTAGAAAAATTAAATGTGTGGTTTAAAGCTTAGCAATGACATGTACAGCTTACTATGAACTCTTCTTTTGCTTCCCATCCCATCCTCCCAGAAGGTTCTACTGCTGCTAAGACTTAGTTCATTAGGATCTCAAATAGCAGCTCTTTCCAGCGTCAGCTGATGCCATTACCTGCCCTAAACCTGAAGGCAGGAATTGAGTTCCTCACGCACCCCACTACCATCTGTGTGTATTCTTCTTACAACTGAGACCGCTAGTGAGTCCTAAATGGAAACTTTGTGCTCTAAAATCGCAGCAAAATTTTCTCCATTCCTGTGTACACCTCTACATAAGATCTGATGTATTTTAGGGAGAGTGGTGAACGTGTCAAGCATGGTGAGTCTCTCATCCCTTAAACGCTGCAGCCCAGAGCTGCAGCAGAAGTTTCGAAGTGAGACCATCACCGAGGAGGAGCTGGTGGGGCTCATGAACAAGTTCGTGGAAGACACGAAGAATAAAGTGCACGAGAAGGAAGGCTGGCCCAACACTGCATATGGGGTGTCCAAGATCGGCGTCACGGTCCTGTCCAGAATCCAAGCCAGGAAACTCAGTGAAGAGAGGAGAGGGGACAAGATCCTACTGAACGCCTGCTGCCCGGGGTGGGTGAGAACTGACATGGCGGGGCCCTCGGCTACCAAAAGCCCAGAAGAAGGAGCAGAGACCCCCGTGTACTTGGCCCTTCTGCCCGCTAATGCTGAGGGGCCACATGGACAGTTTGTTCAGGAAAAAAGAGTTGAACAATGGTGAGCGCACCTCACACCTCCACCCGTGGTTGCCATATTGTACCGTAGGCTGATGTGACACAAAGGACATTGGTATTGTCCAGAATATCCCTGTTTAACAAAAAATAAACCATCCCAGTCAAGTATTCATTACTAACCTAGTGGAATAAGCTACTCACTAAGCAGATACTAATTCTTTGATGGCTTTTGTGACATTCTCTTTGACCTACCAAGAAGAAAAGGAGAAATGGCTAGAAATAATGAATAAAATAATTTCTGAATAAATGGCTCTTTATGAATGCCCATTTCTGCAGGTTGTTATCATGCTGAGCCAGCTCCACCTCAAAGGTATAATCAGCATTAAAGTGAGGTCAAGAGAACAGACTGTAGGGGGCTGGGGATTTAGCTCAGCGGCACAGCTCCTGCCTGGCAAGTGCAAGGTTATGAGTTCGATTCCCGGTACTGGAAAAAAAAACAAAAACAAGAGAACAGACTGTACATTAGGGTTCAGTAAACTCAGAAGGATCCAGGTAGCGTATCTTCAGCTCTGTGGGCCGCACAGCCGGTAGCTGTGACTCAGGGCTGCTGTGGTGTGACAGGAGAGCAGACACGCATGACAACCCAGGAGCAGAGCTGGATATGGGGCATGAACTTGAGTTCGTCAGCCCCTTAGAAAACACCACAAAGGCAAAGGCAGCTGCCTAGTTTCTCTGCAAGCCTCAGTGATTGCGGAAACAAAGATAGCATGTGACATGTGAGTGGTGCTTGCGTGGAACACTTGGCCATTTGTGGCTTTGAGATGAAAGAATGTTTGTTAAGCTCTCTCAATGTGAATGAAGTGTCACAAGGTCTGCAGTATTACATGATTCAGCCAAGTGCAGGCAGTAAACACCATAACACAGTGTTCAGAATTGCAAAGCATTGGTGAATACGTGGGTGTCTGATGATTTTTTTTTAAGCTTTTGTGTTTGTTGAAAGTTTATTTTGTTTTTGGTGGTGCTGGGGATTGAACCCAAGGCCTTCACACTGAGCTATATCCCCAACCCTTTTTATTTTTAGACAGGGTCTCACTAAGTTGTCCAGCCTGGTCTTGAACTTGCATCTTCCTGCCTCAGCCTCCAAAGAGCTGGGATTACAGGCATGTACTACTGAGTCCAGCTTGAAGGTTTTCAAGACATGGGAAGGCACTGGGGTTATAGTTCAGTTAGGATTCTATTAGACAGTAAGGACATGGGAAGGCCCTGGGGTTATAGTTCAGCAGTAAGAACACTTGCTGAACGTGTGTGACATCCTGGGTTTCATCCAAGACCTGAACAAAAAGAACAGAAAATAAGAGGGAGGTGGGAAGTGCCTCGCTTCCTAAGCCAGGCTGTGCCTCAGTCCTGCGTTCATCCATACATTTTGTTCTTAAAGTCACTCATTCCCTTTCTCTCCTGTGCAGCATTTCACATCAAAGCAAACTTTAGTATGTCTGCTTTGTAAAGCATTCCAAAAGGATTTAAGTCATACATACGTAGTAAGTTCTATTGCAGAGGAATCGAATTAGAAACCCTAAGCAACAACAAGCTGAACTGTCCCCAAGTCAACTAAATAATCCATTTCTCCATATCCTTGATCAAAGAAGACTGCAAAGGGAAATTTTGAACTGAGTGAAAATTATAACACATAGATATTAGAGGAAGGCTCTAGAATGGGACAGTACTTGGAGCATCATGCCACCTCTTGCGCCTATTAGGAAAGACAAACTACCTCGAATCTGTCATCTAGATTCCACAGTGAGATAGTACAATAAGAGCAAATGAAGCCCCAGATAAGCTGAAGAAAGGAAATAAAGGTCAGAACAGAAAGAATACAATTAGAAGAGAAAGCAGTGAGACTTCGAGATGGGAAGGGGATCTGAGAGGAGGGAGATGGGGGAGCAGAGGAGAGGTAGAAAGGATCGAGATGTGACACGGTGTGCACCAACTTCCCATGATAAATGCATTTATTACATATCACTGTACTGGTACGCCCACTGTACTAGTACAAATGGGTTCCATGAGAAACGCGATAGAATATACCCAATAGAATATACCCAGATGTGACAGGAGTTAGTGAGATGAGTTAGGATTCTATTAGACATAAGGACAGAGGCCCCAAAATGGAGTGGGAAGCCCAAACTGGTGAGTCACCACCCCTCAGGGATCTTACAGAAACATCTTCCAGCTGTCCCATGACTCGGAGACCTTCCCAGAGCATGATCAGACAGGCCCCTGGCTCATGGGTGCATGGGCGCTACATGGGCATTGCATGAGCACTGCATAGATCAGACCCTAAAATGTATGAGTCTCCTGCAGGGAAGAGTTCATGTTGCTTGCCTACTAGCCTCAGCTCCCCTCTAACCCCTTAGAAGCCCCTAGGCAATGATCCCCACTACAGGAGTATCCTGCTCAGGAGCCCCTCCTGGCTAGTGGGAGTTCTACTCCCCTGCTTTTATATCTTTTAAATAAATTTTCTGGCACTCTACCTCTGTCTGTGGTTTCATTCTTGACCACCATGGGACACAATCTCAGTGTTCCAGTAACAGACATATCAAGGAACAAAATACAAAATACACAAATTCCCAGAGGGCTGGGGATATAGCTCAGTAGCACAAGCACCTGCCTAGCAATCACAAGGTCCTGAGTTCAATTCCCAATATCAAAAAACAAAAACAAAAAACAGACAACTTATAAGGTATGATTAGAGAAAAAGATTTTAAAAGTCTGTACATGTTCAAATTCCCAATATCAGGAATGAGAGAGATGGCATTATTACAAATGCTAAAATTTTATGAACATTTTTATGGCATATTATGAATAATATGACAATGGATTGAACAATTTAAGTGATACATACAAAATTTTTTGAAAGATAACTGAGCTCCCCCAGGAAAAATTCGGAACTTCAATAGCTGTATATTTTAACAGGAAGTTTCAAATAATCTTTAGGAAGAAAACAAACATTGGTCAGGGCGTAAGAACACACAGCTCCTCACCTATTGACTTAATTTAATAGAGAAGGTGGGAGGACAGAGGCACAGGAAGTTGGGCCAACTCCAACGGGAGACCTTTGACACAGGAGGACAGGGCAGTTCTCTGCAAATCTCAAGGCACTAATCACAGCTAGTCCAATAAAACTCATTTGGATTACACTGAAGGAAGTGGGTGGAGAAACTTAATTGCCCACAAGCACCTTAACACACCTCTGGGAGTTCCTTTCCAGGGGAGATTTGTTTTATGGGTATACAACTCTTACTCAGGATGACCTTGGGGAAAAATGTAGATAGTCCCAGCAAAGAGTCTAATAAATAGTATAAGACACAATAGAGCTTCATAAACCTGCCCTCCTCTGTGTGGGTGTGCTGGAAATCACAAAGAGGTGTGTTCTGCACATACCTGTCAGTCAAAGTTTCATGAAGACTATTAGATTTTATTTTGAAAAGTCACTTGAGGGGCTGGGGGTATAGCTTAGTGACAGAGAACTTGCCTAGCATGTGCAAGGGCCCAGGTTCAATTCCCAGCAGTAAGAGGGGGAAAAAGTCACTTGAGGCTAGGAAGTGCATTCCTCCTTACCCCTCTCTTCCTTCCTCTCAGATATACAATTTAGTTTTGGCTTAAAATACATACCTTTAGTGTAAGTGACTCCACATTGCTTTAGTTTATTAGGGCCAATGCCACTTAATTGGTTAAATCCATAGCAATGACCTTTAAGTTTTATGTAATAGTTCCCCCTGCTTTAAAAAAAACAAAAAAATGAAAACATATTAATAAACACACCTACATTTACAAAATAACACAAGAACAAGCAATAAACAAGCAATACTGAAATTCAAACAAGGTGACAGGAAATTAACAACGGTTGTTGTTGTATTACATACTGATTTTTTCGAAGTGGTTACTCAGGAAAACAAATATAGGCATGTAAGATTGATCAAATAGTTAATCATTAACTGTTCCTTTCAATAAAGTGATAGAAGGCAGTAGTACAACTATGTTAGCTATTCTGTGTATACATATTTTTCCCATCTTTTTTTTCTTTTTTCCCTCATCCCAGTTGCTCTTTACTTTTGAGCAGTTTCCTTTCGTTTCAACAAAGTCCAACACTCATTCATAGGAATAGGTGGTCTTTACCCCAACCTGATCAAAGCCATCTATGATAAACCAAAAGCCAGCATCATACTGAATGGACAAAAACTGAAAGCTTTCACTTTAAAATCAGGAACAAGACAAGGATGTCCACTGTCACCACTCCTATTCAACATAGTTCTGGAAGCATTAGCCGGAGCAATTAGCCAAGAGAGGGAAATAAAAGGAATAAGGATAGGAAAGTAAGAAGTGAAATTATCACTATTTTCAGATGACATGATACTCTACATGGAAGACACCAAAAACTCTGCCATAAGACTCCTTGAATTAATCAACAAATTCAGTAGTGTAGCTGGATATAAAGTCAACACTCAAACATCAATAGCATTCCTATACACAACAACAAACAGACTGACACAGAAATTAAGGAAACCATACCTTTCACAATAACATCCAAGGAATTGAAATATTTAGGAATCAATCTAACAAAACAAGTAAAAGACCTATTCAATGAAAACTACAATACTCTGTAAAAAGAGATCAAAGAGGATTTCAGTAAATGGAAAAATATTCCTTGCTCATGGATAGGAAGAAACAACATTGTGAAAATGGCCATACAACCAAAATTGATGTACAGATTCAGTGCAATTCCCATTAAATTACCATTAACATACCTCACAGATCCAGAGAAAATATTCCTTAAATTCATCTGGAACCAGAAGAGACCCGGAATAGCAAAAGCAATCCTGGGCAACAAAGACAAGTCAGTTGGCATCACAATCCCTGACCTGAAATTATATTACAAAGCTACTGTAATAAAATCAACATGGTACTACCCCCTGCTTTTTTAATGCTTCATATTTAGGATATTATCCTTCCTCTCAGTAAATCCCAGTCATTCGGGATTTCTGTACTTGATAAGCCTTTCCCAGATTATAGCTTCCTTAGGATTGTAGATTTTTTTGGAGTTTCTGTTGTTACAGCTACAGAGAAACAATTTAGCATGCACCACATGGCTGTGTGGAACATGTAATTCTTTTGGAGCAAATATAGAGTACCAGGGAGACTACAGTGACTATCAGGAGGCTAGTACAGTACCAACTTCAAAATATGCCCCTTAGCCAGGTCCCGATGAAACAAACCAACAAAATTATCAAAGAATGAGGCAGATGAAAAGTC